AGCATATTTCAGTCCATTTTGAGCCTGTCTCTTATACACATCTAGATGTGTATAAGAGACAGAATATGTAGAGAATACATATAATTTTTTTCACCCCAACAAATTGTGAGTTTTTTTCTTTTCTGGGGGGAGGGAGCAAGAAAATTGTCTGGCGGAAATGCCACCACCGCGTCCCTGTAGGACCGACACTGGTTTTATTACTTGAATTTGTTTTTATTGAGTGCTGCTATTGAATATAAGTGATAAATAAGTATTTTTACATGGAAGTTCAATCAATTTAATAAATTTGGGGGAAAAAAAATTGTATACAGTATTTAAATAGTTTTGTCTAAATAAATATTTTCTAAACTGTATGTAATATTTTTAACTGTGTACCATTATTTTTTATATTCTGAATGTAATGTTGTTCTTTTCAAAATTTTTGAAAGTATAGAATAGTACAGAATTCTTTTTTTTTAGATGATTCACTTTTAAAAAATGTAAAAATTCAAAATTCAAAATTTCTTGCTTACTTATGTCGTACTCATTTGTAACTTGTTGTAAAGATAGTAAAGAGAATAATAATGAATTAACAACAAACGAAACACAACTGATATGAGGGGCCGGCAGCCTCCTGAGCCTGCTACACACAGGCCCTAAATAAATAATGTAGGACTAGTAGAGAGCCTCACTTGCTTCCATTAAAATTAAAATTATAAATGACAGCTATTTAGTAACATTACATAAACTCAAACATACAGTAGTAGGCTATTCATTCATTTGGAGGGGGGGGGGGGGTTATTGACAGACACGTCCATTATCGTTATATAAATAATTTATTGATCAGAAAACAGCCCTACATTAAAAAATGGAAGCGAACATAGAGTACTACAGTGTTACGTCACAATACCATGTGATACTACTCCGTTTCAAAAATGGTTCAACTGGACCATTTTCCCCACTGACAAACCATTGATCCCAATTTCTAATGTAATTATTAAGATTATTCTTTGTAAATTTTAATTGATGAGTAAATGTGTGCTCGATAACTAATATAACGCGAGCTTATGTGTTTTTAGTACATTTTGATGGTAAAATATTAGATTTTGATATGCCTATTCCAGAAAGCCTATAAAGTCATTCAGACGTAACGGTGACCAGCGTCTGATGACAACAGAGAGCGCCACCTGGCGTCGTGACAACACGACTGTGGTACTCTATTGCACAACCAGTCACATCAACTGCAGTTATTGCAACCAAGTCAACATTAGTCAATGGCATAGTGTAAATTGAATGTTCATCAGAATGTATTATCTTGGGAAGCAAATTCAAATGAATTATTCCTCTTAACAGTGACCTTTATCATAAATCAACATACTGAAATATTGTGCACACATAAAACATCTATACTGTGACCACTCATGCACGTAGAACATACTGCTAATGTATTGTAGAACTGACCAATCAAATCAAGGAGGGAAATATGAAACAACAGTTTTCTTTTTAAACAGTGAGCATTCTGAAAACATGGCTTCAGTACAACAGTTATTAATAATTTCTTGGTGCTTTTACCCATTATTTAGAAGTCTGAAATTGAATATAACTGTTATTTTCCACCTTGAGCATATATAAGACGGAGCACTATTTATACCAAATTGAGGATTTACCAACCAGAATAATATAAATAAGTAATGGAGCACACTTAATTTTACAAAATGAGTTGGTGCTCCAGGAAGAACTCAACAGGGTTAGTGCCAGGAGTTGGCCGACAGGGACTCCAAACTCCCCAACCATGGGGCCCCCGATTCCCCCAATGAAGGGAAAGATTTTCCCGACGAGAGCAAAGTTGGTGTGGTCGAGCATCTCTTAAAATGTTTCGAAAGTTGTCAAGAGGGGTGAAACAAGCCCATATCCGGGGGTGGGGGGAGGGTAAGGTTCGGGAGAACCTCCGTTTTTCTAGCTAACCCCCCTATTTTTTTGGCGAAATCCCCTCTTTAAACTTCCCAAATAAGTCCTCCAACCCAATTAATGCACTGCAGACCCACCCAGACACAATATCTGCTTTTATAGCATTATTTAGACCCATAAAGCACAAAAATCCTCTTGCTTTGGGGGTTTCACCGAACCCACCGAGGCTTCAACTGTGCACCTCACGCCCAGAAAACCCCCCCCTTGGAAGAACCTGGCCTGGAAACCCCCACAAATTTTGAAACTTTAGGGGTTTCAAAGACTTATTTAATCGATTTTAGAGTCTACTAATATGTGGAAAATACATATAATTTTTTTTCTCCCCGACAAATTGTGTTGAAGGGAGGGGATCACAGGGAAGTGTATGTTTTGTACTCTTTTAAAAAAATGAAGGGACTTTGCTTGTAAGCTCCATGTGGACAATGCTGCTCTACACAATGTAGCAAACAATTTTTGTAACAATTGTCAATACAATAAAATAAATGTAACAATATTTACATCTGATACAGACATCTGGACAGTCTGCAATCTTCCAATGCAAGACTGGACTAACTGTCCACAATGTGAAAACAACTGACAATCAACTGGTCAACATCTCAGAACATGACCATACTTGCAGTGAAAATATGCCAAAATCATGATTTTTTTAATCAGTTATAGCTCTTTGGGATGCATAGTGACCCCCGGCAGACAGGATTACAACACTAACAGACAGAATATACTTCATATCAAGGGTGAACTTTGTATGCCATTACCAACCAACAGGCATTTTTTTAAATGACACTTGACACAAGTACTGTATACTTCATATCAAGGGTGAACTGTGTGTGACATAATACTGTCTGCGCGTGTATTATGACGTGGTGTATGTGTGCGTTAAAATTCTAAAAATCGCTTTTTAAATAATTTAAAGCATATTTCAGTCCATTTTGAGCATTCCAAGGCAACATTTTCCATAATTCCTGTGCCATGCGCGCATTTTCAGGTACACAGCACATACTGAGGCTAGAAATTACATTTTGTAACATATTTTGCGTTCCTGATGCTGTATTTAAAAATTTCCATTCGTTCATCATTCCAAATTAGCATCATTCCAAATTGTAGCATACTGAAGCAATAAATTGAATTTAATATCATAAAGAAAACTTGGTAACCAAGGCAACACCTGGGGTTATTCATACATCCCATTGGCCATAGAAGGTCTGACATGTCAAAGAAAATTCAAATTTTTTGATTGAAAATTGAAATTGTGACTATACTAATGCCCCCTTTTCAGCTTTAAGTGCAAAGTCTATGTAGCGGTACTTTAGTCTAGTGGTAAAATATTTGTCTAGCATGCCTGTGGTGACCAGTTTGAAACTGGGTGGGGAATAAATTTTTTTTCCTGTTTTGCCTCCTTTGGCTAGATAAGCGGATCACCTAACACGTTCTTGTGACGGGTTCAAATCTTGTTATAATCTCATGTTATGGTATTATGTACAAGCGATCACAGCCAAGACGTAATCATTTGCCATACAACAGAAATTTGAATGCATAAGTACCAGACTTGCTGCTCTTCTCTATTACAATTGTGGCAAAGACAAGCCAAACCAGTCACTCGTCGCAAATCGTGTTTCAGAGAAAATGGCCAAAACATGCTGGAATGTCAAATTTAAAAAAATCTATTTTATTGCTTTAAACTAACCTTTATATATCTACACATCATTCTATGCTGTTATTTTCCCCATTTTCAATGTTAAAACAATACTTTTTAAGGATTTAAAGATAGTTTCTGCATGAGAAATGCCTGAAATCATAAACTTTGACGGTTAATTTCTCATATAGTTCTTTAAACAGCTGTGTGGTTAAATGCTTGTAACTTCATAACGAAATGTCCGATTTGAATGATTTTTCTACCATTTTATAGCTATTATTTTACTCTCTAATACTGTATTAATAACTCAAAATCGATTTTTGCGACGAGAGACTGGTTTGGCTTGTCTTTGCCACAATTACAATTCTGGTGCATCAATTGCTACTGCAGCCATCCCTCACATTGACA